CCGGCCGAGTCAGCGTCTGCGTCTGCGTCAGAGGAAAGAAGGCGGCGACTGTGGTTGCCGATCGCGAGAAGAACGGCTCGGTGGTTTGCTAACAGAGAAGAAAGAGCCCAAATTAACACAACGCAGCAACATTTGGATGTATAGTTTTTTTTATCTGTCAAGATTTTTTTTTCCATTAATCACTTGAAAAGTTGAAGAAATAAAACGATAGGGTTTAGGTATAATACCATGAATCTATGGAACAACATTCATTTCTCCCATTTGTTGTAATAAAATAAAGGTTTGAAGAGTAATAACTTTTTGTTTTTTGTGGTAATCGTGATGTAAGATGTTTTTCAATAAATGAAGATATGAAAATTGAAGAAAATCATAAAAAGAAAAAGAAAACAAATATGCCAACCTGGTTTCAGAAGCAACCACGTTCTTATATTTATTTTCTACCTTTTTTTGGACAAGCATAATGTATGTATGTATGTATGTATGTATGTATGTATGTATGTATGACATTCTTCTTTTCCTTTTCACATATTCTTCTTTTCCTTTTCACATACTCTATGACAAGTTTATATCACATACGTCTCGCAATTCTTGTTTACTTTCACATCTCTTTTTCAAATAAAGTATGGAATAAAATATTTTCTATTTGAAATTTTGTCTATGCAAAAAGGTCTTCGTCTTCTTCTTTTTTTTTATTATTATTATTATTATTATTAGAGTAAATTATTATTATTTTGGTAATGTTGAGTTTTTTTTTTGGTTATGGACAAACACAAAACCGTCCAGAGTACACAGATTGTGAAACCTAATCTCTGTTTTTAATTTTCTTTTCCTCTTTTTTTTTTTTTTAAAAAAAAAAATTCCGGCTATAATATAAAGTCAGCACTCAATTTTATCCTGATCTGATATATGATGTAAGAATCCGACTCCTCTAATTTTGTCCTGTCTTTTGTGTTAATGTGTTTGCATATAACCCACTAGACCCCCAAATTAGGTGTACAGTTTGTCTCTATATATACATAATACATATATATATATTATTCTTTCCGTTTTCGTTTTGCGATAGCTTTATTTAGATAATGTTTTCAATTCGTTTTATGCAATAATTGAGTACAATATTGTTCGAAATCTAGATCTTTTATTACTATTAAAGCTAACATATCGTACGTTTGAGGATGTCATTTACACAAATTTAGAAGAGTGTGTGTGTATACATACACACGTGGGAAGAGGATACAGAGAGGATGCCGCAATCGGGGATAGGTCAAAGAAGCCAAAATGTGGGTTGGAGAGGGGGAAGTCACATTTGGTTGCTTGTTGGTCCAAAACTTGATAATTGAATATTATAAAAAATTCATATTAGTAACCAAAATGAAGAGAAAATTCCATAAACAAACTCAATAACAAAAAAAAAAAAAACCCCCCAACAGTCTGAAGCAAAAGAACTCTACTATCTCTTGTCTCTCATGTCCATCCATGACTGAGAAAACTGTTCCAAAACCAGGCATCATCAAAAGCATATGTAAGTTATAACCCATCATCCTCTTATCCATTCATTTGCACCCATCACCTCTGAATTCCTTTTAACAAACCTCTGCACCCGCAAATCTACATGCTCTTACCCGAGCTTTCCAGACGACCGGCTTGTAGACACCTCTCTCTAGCCTCTGCTCGAAGCCGGGGTCTCAGGTTTCTGCAAAGAATGCTGCTACTCATTAACATAAAACTCCTGCGTTTATTACTTTAAAAAAAAAAAAAACTGGGTCTGTGCAGCAGCAGCCTAGGTCCTGACCAGTCAGGACTCAGGGAACAAGACCTTCAGATGAGATTTAACAACATATGAACACACTGATGAGATTGGATCACATAACCCCCAAAACAAAACCCAAGAAAAGAGATACAGGACTTGGTGCGAAATTTATACAAGGTGAGTTGTTTATGAAGTAGGAAATAAAGCAAAACCAAAAAAACATACACTTCATTGCCTTGTTTGTCACAAACCAATGCGTTCGAAATTTTGCCTTGAGAGAAACACGTGTGCCTTCTTCTTCTGAGAAATTACACACATCTGCTATCCCTATCACAGCACGTTCCTCCGCATCTCCCCTTTACTGCCTCAGCAGACACTCCTCGACAATATACACAGGTGTTTGGCACATGTTTGTTTGTTCTACCCAACCAAGACTGTCATTATCGATTCTCCGCAACTATATCAGAAATCAGGAATTAGTCAACCAAACACCATCATCGTGTAAAGGCATTGGTTCACATCAATAATAGCACACAATACATCAGAAGACTACCTTCTTTGCATCATCGCTTGCCCGAAGAGATGTTGTGAAATGAAGAGGTCCAGCCTCCAGATATACCGGTTCTATTTCCACTCCCATACCCGGGATTTGAAGATTCAGCACCGGCAGGAAAACCAGGCACTGCTACATTTCTTTTAGAGGTGCCAGCTGGTGAAAACGAAGTGGATGGCATGTTCACCCGCCCTGACATCTGCGAGGGTTTCAACCACATGATGATCAATGACGCTTTTGCGATAATCTATATAATGTTAGATAGCTCATAGATATTCCGTCTTGGCATTGGTTACATGATAATTCGCAAAAGGGTTTTGTAGGAAAATGACAAAGACCTCTCACAGCAATAGGATCACAGAAATGACAAGCCAACACAAGGAAGAAGATTGCACACTTCCACTTATTATTTGGAAGAGGGAATAAGATTACTTACATTCTTGTCCGTGGGCTGGTCATAACCCAGAGTCCTGCCTGTAGCAGGATTAAAATTCAACTGAGGGCCCGGACCAATAGCAGTGGCTGATCTGATGCGTTCAGACACCTCAGGTCCATAAGAAGCATTGGTTCCTCCTGCCAGATGGAAAGCTAGCCTCAGTACGCCACCCATTTTGAGACATTATAATGCAAACAAAACATTTGTGGACAAAATCTGCTTTATTAATATGCACTCCAACAGCTTTTTGAACCTTTCTCTTCCCATTTAATTGAAAAAAAAAAGCAGGGTAAGAAGATCGGGAAAAAAAATACATCAGCTCTCAGACAGACCAGTTTCTCAAATCAAGATGAACATTCTCTGTAAACTTCAGTAACAACCTGACCTTGATGATTGTTGCTTTCCATTGGCATTGCACGAGCATTACTAGACCCAGGAACTGCCTGCTGTTCAAGATTACAATATTCTGTTAAAAAGACAACCCCATAATAGAATATTTGCGTTTTAGCACCAGAAGCTAATGCTGCGGGTGATACACCCCAGCAAATGCAAAAGGCATAGTCATGAAGGAACCTCCTCGTTCAATGAAAATATCTGTCACAAAGATGCATATGAAGATTAAGAACAGGAAATAAAAAGGGTGTCCGATGACTAATTATTCATACCCGAGATTGATTTCTAGTTTTCTGTGCCTGCTGATACTTTATTATGGTCCAATCAAACACATAGTCAAACTCACATCCTGCGTCAAAGTGAGGTAGGTCAGCCATTTCAATTACCAAATACCATGGTGTTAGGGTAACTGTACAAATATTGGAAAGGTGTCCTTTTCCAGGTACCTTCACGTGAAAACAAATCACGGAAAAGACGCTTCAAGAAACCATAGTCAGGACGCTGATCAAATGTCAACGTGTGGCAGTAATGGAAATACGAAGCAAACTCCACAGGGTGATTTTTGCACAGAACCTGCAAGATAGAGGATATTCATTCAAGTGACACATGGAGAAACAACGTTTCTTTTACAATAGAGGAGGACAGACCTCGATAGGAGTTGATATCTTCTTCTCACAAATTTTGTCATACTTCTGTTTTTTGTCAACAGCTTTAAGACCCTGCCACGGAAGACTGTAGAAAAGGAGGGTTAAGAAACAAAAACACACACATGAAACTCATAAATAACCATCAGAAGAGTTGTGGTTAACATGCGGCTACAACAACTGATCCAAAAAAGTATCAATAATTATAGTTTACAAAAGAACAGAGAAAGCAAAATACCCATTGATTCCTTTAAAGTGAAAAATAAAAAATCAACTTACCTTCCTCTTAAAAAATATAGAAGCACATATCCAAGTGATTCTAGATCATCTCTTCGACTTTGCTCTAGAACAAGAGACCAAAATACATATAAGCATAAGATGACACGCAATGCAAACAATAAGAACAACTCTGTGGCATTGCTTACCAATTCCAAGATGAGTATTGCAACTTGCATACCGTGCAGTTCCAGTTAAATTCTTGTTTTCCCTGCGTGAAATACAAACAGCACATTAGTCGTATAACCTGACTTCTAATAATAAAAAGTACAGAGGTGGTTAGCAAAATGAAAACACACAATGGTGCAAACAATATAATGAACCGAGACTGAAATTTTGCGAATACCTGTAAGGGATATGGCGGTTGGTGCTGGCATCTCGATATCTTTTGGCAAGCCCAAAGTCGATCAAGTAAACCTGATTATCAAAACTTAATAAGCATTGTTGGCTGAATCCGTCATACCTATGGTCCAATATGTAGAGTGTTTCTTGAGAAGTTAAAAAGGGAATTTCTTTCCTGCTTGATGGAGAAAGAAATTGCTAAACTTGATACCTGATTTGCTTTACGTCCAAGGCCCATGAGAAAGTTATCAGGTTTTATGTCTCTGTGTAGGTATCCTTTGGAGTGCACGTACTCTATCCTAGTTAGCTGTGAAACAAAGATAAGAAGCCACAATCGCATTAGATTATAAAATTAAAGAGGGATGCTGATCAGCATTGCTCCTCATATCAGTCAAAAGAACTGCATAATAAGTCAACATCATCGTACAACGGGGACAGAGAAGAAAGAAAGAGGAATTTATGAAAATTGGAGGAAAGTTATACACATCGCACCATTTGATCAGCTAACATCAAGACTGTCTTCAGTGAGAACTTCCTCCCACAATACACGAATAGATCTTCGAGACTTGGCCCTAGCAAATCAATCACCAATGCATTTTCTGACCCATCCACTCCAAACCATTTTATCCGCGGAATTCCACCTGCACAACATAAGGGCAAAACCAATAATTAGCTTCTCCATCCTCACAGAGGGTATTGTAATTAGCTGCGATATTTTATCAGTAGAAAAATCTGGAACTGTAATTAGAGGACTGATGATTGGTTGGTAACTCCATCGACGTTTATACCACCGCCCATTTAAAAAAGAAATACAGAATATAATCAGAAACATACTTCCTCCTTCAAGAATTTTGTATAACTTGGCTTCGTAGAGAAGTTGAGGATGCTTTGTTTTACTGTTCTCCTGCAAAACGAAGAAAAATGAACTGATTTTCAGTACATTAATTACAGCTGAAGAACTCAATTAACAGACCGATACCAAGAACGAAACAGCCAAAATAACCACTCAATCGCAGATCCAAAGTAAACCCAATAATGATTCGTTTTATCGTAAACGAATCCAGACTTACGATCTTAACAGCGACGATCTCGAAAGTATCGATGTGGGTAGCTGCGAAACATGAGAAAGAACACGTGAATATGGGATTGAAGGGTAAAAATCAAAAGCAGGCGATGAATAATCGACGGAAACACACACCAAGAAAGATTTCCCCGAAGGATCCGCCGCCGATCTTCCGTCCGAGCTTGTATTTTCCGCCAATGACGCGTTCCATTGGCTCCTCCGGTCACGATCGATTCAGGATCAATCGCATAGAGATAAGGGACCTAGGGTTTTTATCTGACCATATGCTCCACGAGTTTGACGGTTACGATACGAACAGTAGAGACAGGGAGGTTAATACGGTAATTCTGCGGACATAGCAAGGGTAAAAGCGTCATATTGGGCAAATAGATGACGTGGACAGAAGATATTTGCCAGAGTGTCATATGATGATTGTGGGGACCACTACATGATCCAAGCTGGACGATGAAGTTTCGACGGCCAGTAGTTTCACCAACTCGATAGATCTACTGTCACACCTATTTCACATTTAAGATTATTTTACTTTTAATAATATTAAATTTATTTGTCCAATTTTCTATTTATATTAATTAATATCAATTATCAGATGAAAAGATAACAATAACGGAAAAAACAACAAAAATACTAATAGCAGAAGAATTCAAAAAAATAAATTACTGTTGTTTTATGGTTATGGTTAACAACAGATTGTTCTCTATAATTACTATATTTTGTGTTCATTTATATGATCTATAATTATCTAGGGAAAAACTCCTAAAAATTCCTGAACTTGCGAAATACGAAAAAAAAAATTCATGAATTTGCGAGAATGCCAAATAATTTCTGAACTTGCAAAAAGTGTCTCAGTAAATCCTAATCTTATTAAAAAATATCATATTAGTCATTCGGAAAAAATGATTATAATAATATGATTGTATGTCCTACGCAGGTGACATGATACACCAAGTGAGTTTTTTTTGCCACGTAATCAGTACCGGATTTTAGAAAACCGATTTCTTCAGAAAATATTCTAGAGTTTTTTAGACGCATTTCATCGAACACTTAATATACGTTGCTGTTTTCATTCCGCGACTTTGAAATTCTTGTTCTGAATCCATTTGTTTTGTGTTAGATGATCAAGTACGCGATATTGGCTTTGAATGAGAGGTCAGGATCGAGTTAGTACGCAATCACAAAGTACATTGAGGAGAATCACAAGTAATTGCCTGGGAGTTTCAGGAAGCTTCTTCTTATTCAACTAAAGTGTCTCGTTACCTCTGGAAAGCTCGTCAAGGTGAAGAACTCGTTCAAACTATCTCCTGCGTCCGCCACTATGGCAACCGAGATCTTTGATATCGAATACACTTTGGAGATATTGCTTTGTATTTTGAATCCCGACTGTATCACTGCCGGAGAGGATGATATCGTCGACGTATACTAATAGGACGATAATGCCGGTTGAGCTTTGGAAGGTAAAGAGGGAATGGTCCGAGTCGCAACGCTTGAAACCTCGAGCAATCAACGCCGAAGATAGCTTGTGATACCAAGATAGTGGCGATTGTTTCAACCCGTATATAGCTTTCTTGAGCTTGCAGACTTGGCCCGGAAGAATTGGACGATTAAGACCCGGTGGAGGGGACATGAAGATGTCTTCCTCGAGATCTCCTTGAAGAAAGACATTCTTTACGTCCATCTGCCACAAAGACCAATTCGAGTTAATAGCCAAAGATAAAAGAACACGGACAGTTGGTAACTTAGCTACGGGTGCGAATGTGTCCGTGTAGTCTTCGCCATATGTTTGGGTGAATCCTTTGGCGACTAAGCGGGCTTTATGTCTCTCGATGGTGCCATCACTGCGGTACTTTATTTTGTATACCCACTTGGAGCCAACCACATGTTTGTCTTTCGGAGGGTAAGTGATTTCCCATGTCCCGTTTCTTTCTAGAGCTGCGATTTCTTCAGCCATCGCCTCTTGCCATATTGTATTATCCTTTGCTTCCTCATAAGAATTTGGTTCAATATCCTGTAAAATGGCACTTAAGAAGCACTGTGATTCAGGAGGAAAATCATGTAAAGAAAAATGAGCATAGGATTGAAGATACGCAGGAGAGCGACGTGGTCTTGTTCCGCGGCGAAGATGTGGTTGTGACGTTGAGGAGTCTGCAACGTTATGCATGGGAGAATCTGATGCCGAAAATTCCCCCTGCCCAAGAAGATCGTCGTCACAAGGTTGGTCTTCGATAGGAGTGGACAAGTCGGGTGCATGCATGGGAAGAAGCTCCTGATGTTGTTCCAGAGCATGCATGGGGATTTCCACCGGAGATGGTCCGTCATTGTGTTGTGTGTCTTCGATCAGAGGAAGACACGGACCTGCGATGTCACTAGAAACAATAGGAGAAGAGGAATCTAATGGAGTTTGAGAGGGAGAAATAACCTGTTGCCCAATGAAGGGCTCATTTTCATGTGAAACCCATGAAGGACAAGTGTCGGTGGAAGAATTAATATGACGTAGAGATGTAAGTAATCTTCGTATAGAGACATCATAGTCATTGCCTTGTTGTGCAAGATTCTCCAATGCTGCCCAATTCTTTTTGTCAAAGTAACCCAAGTCTTCCACGAATCGAACCTCCCGAGATGTATATGTTCTCCGAGTGGGTGGATGATAACACGTGTATCCCTTTTGGTTAGGAGGGTAACCAATGAAGATGCATTTAACACTTCGGTGGTCGAGTTTATCTCTTTGTCCTGCATCAAGATACACAAAACAAACACATCCAAATGTACGAAGATGTTTCATTTGATGGAGGTTGCTCGGACATTACTCTTTCATCGCCAAGTTCCGAAGAATTATTGGAGTTTCTCGGTTCAAACCGCTTGTTATCTTATTAATCGATTGCCCACACAAGTGCTTGCCGATAAGTCGCCGTTCGAGCTCCTCTTTAATCGTAAGGATTCAATTGAACATCTTCGTACATTTGGATGTGTTTGTTTTGTGTATCTTGATGCAGGACAAAGAGATAAACTCGACCACCGAAGTGTTAAATGCATCTTCATTGGTTACCCTCCTAACCAAAAGGGATACACGTGTTATCATCCACCCACTCGGAGAACATATACATCTCGGGAGGTTCGATTCGTGGAAGACTTGGGTTACTTTGACAAAAAGAATTGGGCAGCATTGGAGAATCTTGCACAACAAGGCAATGACTATGATGTCTCTATACGAAGATTACTTACATCTCTACGTCATATTAATTCTTCCACCGACACTTGTCCTTCATGGGTTTCACATGAAAATGAGCCCTTCATTGGGCAACAGGTTCTTTCTCCCTCTCAAACTCCATTAGATTCCTCTTCTCCTATTGTTTCTAGTGACATCGCAGGTCCGTGTCTTCCTCTGATCGAAGACACACAACACAATGACGGACCATCTCCGGTGGAAATCCCCATGCATGCTCTGGAACAACATCAGGAGCTTCTTCCCATGCATGCACCCGACTTGTCCACTCCTATCGAAGACCAACCTTGTTACGACGATCTTCTTGGGCAGGGGGAATTTTCGGCATCAGATTCTCCCATGCATAACGTTGCAGACTCCTCAACGTCACAACCACATCTTCGCCGCGGAACAAGACCACGTCGCTCTCCTGCGTATCTTCAATCCTATGCTCATTTTTCTTTACATGATTTTCCTCCTGAATCACAGTGCTTCTTAAGTGCCATTTTACAGGATATTGAACCAAATTCTTATGAGGAAGCAAAGGATAATACAATATGGCAAGAGGCGATGGCTGAAGAAATCGCAGCTCTAGAAAGAAACGGGACATGGGAAATCACTTACCCTCCGAAAGACAAACATGTGGTTGGCTCCAAGTGGGTATACAAAATAAAGTACCGCAGTGATGGCACCATCGAGAGACATAAAGCCCGCTTAGTCGCCAAAGGATTCACCCAAACATATGGCGAAGACTACACGGACACATTCGCACCCGTAGCTAAGTTACCAACTGTCCGTGTTCTTTTATCTTTGGCTATTAACTCGAATTGGTCTTTGTGGCAGATGGACGTAAAGAATGCCTTTCTTCAAGGAGATCTCGAGGAAAACATCTTCATGTCCCCTCCACCGGGTCTTAATCGTCCAATTCTTCCGGGCCAAGTCTGCAAGCTCAAGAAAGCTATATACGGGTTGAAACAATCGCCACTATCTTGGTATCACAAGCTATCTTCGGCGTTGATTGCTCGAGGCTTCAAGCGTTGCAAGTATCCCGCAGGTATTCTCGAGGACGTTCCTTTGAAAGTCGGGGATTATTATGTCCCTGTTGACTTTGTTGTTTTAGACATGGATGAAGACTCGAAGATACCGATTATTGAAGATGTGGTTGTGACGTTGAGGAGTCTGCAACGTTATGCATGGGAGAATCTGATGCCGAAAATTCCCCCTGCCCAAGAAGATCGTCGTCACAAGGTTGGTCTTCGATAGGAGTGGACAAGTCGGGTGCATGCATGGGAAGAAGCTCCTGATGTTGTTCCAGAGCATGCATGGGGATTTCCACCGGAGATGGTCCGTCATTGTGTTGTGTGTCTTCGATCAGAGGAAGACACGGACCTGCGATGTCACTAGAAACAATAGGAGAAGAGGAATCTAATGGAGTTTGAGAGGGAGAAATAACCTGTTGCCCAATGAAGGGCTCATTTTCATGTGGAACCCATGAAGGACAAGTGTCGGTGGAAGAATTAATACGACGTAGAGATGTAAGTAATCTTCGTATAGAGACATCATAGTCATTGCCTTGTTGTGCAAGATTCTCCAATGCTGCCCAATTCTTTTTGTCAAAGTAACCCAAGTCTTCCACGAATCGAACCTCCCGAGATGTATATGTTCTCCGAGTGGGTGGATGATAACACGTGTATCCCTTTAGGTTAGGAGGGTAACCAATGAAGATGCATTTAACACTTCGGTGGTCGAGTTTATCTCTTTGTCCTGCATCAAGATACACAAAACAAACACATCCAAATGTACGAAGATGTTCAATTGAATCCTTACGATTAAAGAGGAGCTCGAACGGCGACTTATCGGCAAGCACTTGTGTGGGCAATCGGTTAATAAGATAACAAGCGGTTTGAACCGAGAAACTCCAATAATTCTTCGGAACTTGGCGATGAAAGAGTAATGTCCGAGCAACCTCCATCAAATGACGATTCTTGCGTTCCGCGACGCCGTTTTGTTGAGGTGTGTTCGGACATGACTTTTGATGGACAATGCCTTGTTCAAGAAGAAATGTTTTGAAGTTGTTTCTCGTGTACTCGCCACCATTATCTGTACGAAAACACTTTATCTTGCAACCAAATTGGTTAGATATGAGCGCACAAAAGTGTTTGAATGCATCAAAAGCGTCACTTTTTCTTTTTAATAACGTTAACCATGTATGTTTTGTCTTTTCGTCGATAAAGGTTATAAAATATTTGTAATGATCAATAGAAAAACATGGGGCCGTCCAAATATCCGAATGGATTAAATCAAAAGCATTTGCATAAGCAGTTGTAGAAGACGGAAACACAGATCGACAATGTTTGCCTAGGGTACAAGCATCACAAAAACGAACATCGTTCATAGCGTCGGAGACAAGTAAACGAAGAACTTTGTGATGCGGATGCCCTAGCCTAGCATGCCACACATCGGAGGAAAGGGAAACAAAGCAAGAATGAAAACATGCGTGAAAATCTTCAAGATAGAACAGGTTGCCCCGTCTTATTCCATGACCAAAGATGCGATCCGTCTTAGTATCCTGAAATAAAACACGGTTAGTTTCGAATATAACAACACAATTTGTTTCAGTGAGCAATTTTGGAAGAGAAAGAAGATTTGTTTTAAATTGAGGAACGTAAAATGCAGATATTTCTCTACCAAAAAGGTGAATGTAGCCATGTCCCTCGATGGGAACAGAATGGCCATTTGCAACCGAAACGGAACCAAAACTTCGTGTAAGGTTATGAAACCAAGAAGCATCGGAAAACATATGTGAGGTGGCTCCCGAATCAATTACAACAGAAGGGATTAGAGGAGTGTTACCAGAATCCTTGGTGTTTAGGGCCAACAGAAGTTGTTTGAAGCCATGGAGTTCATCATTGCTAAAGGCCACAACATTGTTGGATGCTGTCGGGGTGTGTTCGACTGTCATTGCTGCACCACGTTTGTGTTGTTCTCTGAACCGAGGAGGTTTCAGGTGTGGGTTGAGGACCCAGCAGCGTTCTTTAGAATGACCCGGACGCTTGCAGTGGTCACAAAAGTAGCATTTCTTTTCTCTTGGTGAAGCCGAAGCAGTTGGTAAAGAAGGAGCAGATTGCGTTCTCTGAGCATAATGAGCCATAGGACCCGGACCATTGAAGAGATTCCTACCTCCTTCTTCACGCTTAATCATCATACAGACTTCATCGAAAGATGGTAAGGTGGTTTGACGCAACATATGATAGACAATATCATTGAAAGAAGGATCAAGAGTTAAAAGGAACGAGAACACCTTGTCTTCCTGTGTGCGAGCCAAAGATTCTTTCAGGTCTGTAGTGGGAGGTCGGATCTCATCGAGTTCTGTCCAGAGAGCACAGAATTCACTTTGGATCTTGTTGATGGGCTGGCCATTTTGTTGCAGATGAAAGATCTTCTTCTTGATCTCGAAGATGCGACTTATGTTCGACAAATTGCCGTAAACATTTTTGAGAGCATCCCAAAGAGATTTGGCCGAATCCATTGAGATGAAAGACTGAAGAACATTTTCATCCAACGAGGCTTGGAGAATGACGAGAGCTCTTTGATCCGATTGGTACCATTTCGCCTTTGCTTTTACAGCAGCATCGACTTGAACTTGGGCTGCAGTTTCAGCCTGTGTAACCCCGTCAACAGCCACTTCTTGTGGAGGGATTTCAGCAAGGAAGTCAGCAAGGACATGATCCCAAAGCCCATTGCTACTGAGGACTGCCTTAGCCGCCTTTGACCAGTAAAAATAATTGTCTCCATGAAGAACAATTGGAATATTTTTGGATTGGTTTTCCATTGGAGAAAAGTAACGACGGAAAGATTAAAAAAGGTTGACGAGGGATAAAAATAAGAGACAAATGAAGCAGAGACAAATCAGCAGAAGTGCAGATCGTCTTGCTCTGATACCATGAACAAAACTATAGGATCGAGTGGTGTTTTTGGTTTCTCGGCGTATTACGAGCCGGCAAGATAAGAGTAGGGTTTTTAGAGAAACGATGAGAATAAAAGAAAGAATTCTCTTAATGATAATTAGTATACATACGTAAGCTATACATATATACTATTATACGTCCTTTAGAGAAAAGGAATATGAGTAAATACAAAGATATATAAAAGGAAATGTAATATCTTGTAAGACAAGAAAAGGAAGTTATATGCATGTGCTATCATGGTTTCCTTATTCTCAAACGATCATGCCGTTGTGTTGTCCAAAGAATCCGCAATTCCCGTAATATCGTCAACATAAAGTTCCGGTGATGAAATATGCTCTGACGGAGAAAGATAAGCCAAAGAAGGCGAGAACCATCGCCGGAGTGAAGAGGAAGGCCGTGGTGGAAAAGAAATCTCCGTCAAAGAAGGCGAGAAAAACCGGTGCTGCAACGACGATAACGAAGAACAAAGTTAAAAGCCTGAGCAAATGGAACGTTTTATCTTGCATAGTGTAAGTCATCGTGTATACTAAGTGTTCGATGAAATGCGTCTAAGAGACTCTAGAATATTTTTTGAAGAAACCGGTTTTCTAAAATCCAGTACTGATTACGTAGCAAAAAAACCCTACTTGGCATGTCATATCACCTGCCACATAGGATATAAAATTATATTATTATAATTAGTTTTTTCGAATGACTATTATGACACTTTTTAACAAGATTATGATTTATTGAGACACTTTTTCCAAGTTCATAAATTATTTGGCACTCTCGCAAGTTTATGAAATTTTTTTCTCACACTTTGCAAGTTTAGGAATTTTTAGAGGTTTTTCCCAATTATCTATAATTATGTTGTATAATTTTTTCGAGAAGGGACTGTTTTAATATTTTAAGAATGGGTATACATTGTTAAATTTATATAATTTAATATCTAATATATAATTGCACACCAATCTCTATTGTGATCGAGTTTCTTCTTCAACACCAAAAGGTTTTTTGAAGGTACACTGTTCGAATTCGAATGTGGAGAGGGGATACATTAAAATGCGTTTTAAAGACTGTTTCCGGATCTGAAGATATAGGTGCACCGGATCTTCGGTGAACCGACAAAAAATTAATAAGTATAGAATTGCACACATTATATTACCCTTTATCTTGTATTAATTACACCCGGATTCGGAGAATTGAGTGTCATGTGAGAAATTTTATGCTCAATTAGTAAGATTTTTTTTAGAAAAAAAAAAGAAACATGATAAACCAGATTAGTTTAATATCTATTCTTTTCAGCTTGCAATTAGAGCCCTTAGACCCATTAATATTGCATCCTCTCATTTTGGGCCCAGAGCCTACATTTTCATAACCACAAGCTATAAAAAGCACATTCTTATACGGGCTTACGCGAGGCATATATTGGGCCAAAATTTATTACATTGGGCCGGAAATTAGAGTATTAGGCCTATTTATATTGGAACCTCTCAGTTTGGGCCCAAACTTGCATTTTTATAACCGTAGGGTCAATTATATAGGGCCCATTTATTAAATGGGCTCATGCATTGGCCCAATGTGATAACCAGAGGTCTAATTTAGTTCCATTTCTTATATGGGCCTAAGCGATGGGTGTATTGGGCCAACGTTCATTATAGTAGGCCTGCAGTTAGAGCCTTCAGGCCCGTTTATATTGTATTCTGTGCTTGGGTCAAATCTAGTTACATTTCTTATATGGGCTTAAACGATGCATATCTTGGGCCAATATTCATTATATTGGGCCTGCAATTAGAACCCTTCAGGCCCATTTATATTGCATCGAACCTCGAAACAATTTTTTTAGGATACGACTTCCCAATGGATTGCGGACAATTGAAAAAATGATTGTTGGAATCGCAATAGTCTGCCATCGTAATAAAACGTTAATATTTTAAACGTAATTAAAAGATTACGTTATGATAGCATTTTACAGCATTTTAATTAAATGACCAAAAGACTCCTAATATTAATTAATATATATACATAAATATTATATTATATATATAAAAACTTACATGTGTATATATAACCAGAGTATATAAATAGATATACATACACATATACATATATATATGAATACATACACATACTTATATATATATATACATACATATATACCTACATACAAACAAACATATATACACACATATATATACGCACACACACATATATATACACATATATATATATACACATATACATATATACATATATAAATTATAAAAATACTAAAAATTTTGTTTGGTATTATGTTCGATATTGTTTGGTTTTATCAATAAATATTTTTAAAATAATTTAATATTAAAATTATTTTTAAAATAAATTAAACTGATAATGAAATTATATTTTAAATTTTATAATTAAATATTTATAAATTTAATAATTATTTGATATTAAATAATAATAATAAAATAACTAAAAATAATTTAAAATGGTTAGTATTGTATATAATAAAATATCCTTTTTTATTTAAATCAAAATACAATCGCAATCGTTATCAACCAATCGTTCTAAATCGCAATCAATCGCAATCGCTACCAATAACAGTTTTTCTACCTGTCAATATCAATCGCGTCAAATTGTCAGCAAATGCATTGTAAACGCTCGCAATCGCCATCGCGGCGATTGTGAGTCTACCGATCAACACCTTAATAACTTACAATGCATTATTATAACATACAGGGAAAGGAAGCATATAACCAAAAATATTTGATTTATACCCTTATTAGAAGAGGCTATCAAAGATCAAACACCGTTACCAAACACACAAAAATGGCTTACTAAATACCTATTTATCACACGAAAAGGACATACTAGCTTCTGGAAATGGCAAACTGGTTTCAGCTTCTGCTCTTCTCCACTGATCTTGGAGCTGAGAAAAGAGAAATGGGCATGTGCAAAGATACATCAGAAAGTGAAGACAGACTAAATATTATGATTAAGGATGTTCGATATAATAAGCTGTTCGATAATGGCAGATACAGAGACAGGACATGCTGATTTTGTGATATATAAAGAGCTCCGAGTAAACGTACATAGACCGATAGCCTCTTTGCTCTTCACCATTCTCAGCCTCTTGCAAGAATCTATGAACATTCTGCAGAAGAGAAAAAAGAAAAAGAAAATCAAAATCAATAATCTTGACTGGCCATGCCCTTGTTCATTCTCTTCTTCTTCTTCTTCTTCCATTCCTTATCTATCAGTTGTTCTAAACGGGCATGGAACTTTTTTGAGCTATGGTCGCTTAAACAAGTGTTTCAAATCCTGTATCCATGTATCAAGCTGTGAAAAAACCAGACTTACTGCCATGGGACATCACCGACAAGCATCCAGTCGCCATCTTTATCCTCATATGTAACCACATACTCAGATCCACGCAAGAGATCTGACAAGCGGCTCTCATGGCTGCTGGATCCGCCATTAGAGGAGCCAAACTGACCTGAGAAAACCATTCGCCACTTCAAAGAACTTGCAACACAGCTCAAACCCAGTAACTAGGTAAACAAAAAAAATTACCAATCTTGAAGCAATTGAACATCTTCTCGAGCGCTGAAGAGAGATCAAGGTAGCTTTTAAACGTCTTGAGATCGATTTTCCTCAAGTAAGGAGCACCTTCCATGCTTACCTTCACGTACAAGCAAGATTCTGATTCTGGGTTTTCGCCATTGTTCTTCTGAGATTGAGAAGCCAACGTGTTCTTCCGGAATGACCGAACTGGTGGCCAACCCACAACCTGCGCCCTGCCAAAGCCAAAAGCTTTCCTCCTCCTTATTCCATTCGGCAACCCATGAAACGGAGTCTAATGCATAAAAATCTCCATCACTAACGCAAGAAAAGACAATAAATAAACCAATAAAATCAGTGTCTATGCATATGAGACAAGTTTTCTTGTGTTTTCGTTCCATTTATGGGCACAATTTCTTTTCAGAAGAAACATAAAGAAGCAACTATCAGTCCAATACGAAAAATCTAGTGACTATATATACATCCTTCACAAAATTTATTGAGTTATATCCCTTCTTGTTTGCTTTCTGCGTAATCTGGGTCTTTATCTCAAAAAAGATCATATTTTCAAATTTCTTGACCTCAGTAGCCCCATGAACATGAAGAAATATAGAGCTGGACACAGAAATTGAAATTCCTCGCAGCAGCAACTTTACGTCCACTGAAAAAACTGAAAAGGAAAGAAGAGAAGAGAAGAGAACTTGTCTGTGAAAAAAACCACAAGAGACAGAAACCCGGTTACTTTGAAGCAGGACCCTTCTTCTCCTGAACCGGTGAGTCCGGTTTAGCCAGCTGCGTCGCTTTCCCGTCCCTCGCGGCGGAGCCACCGTGACCCGAACCCGGACCCAGCGGAGCCGCATCAGCACCAGTAGATCCGGAAGAGAATACCCATTTTTCGGTCCCGTTGATTGCGTCGGAGAAGACCCTTTTGGCCCCCGAGATGGAACAGCAGCTCTTGAGCGAAAGGAGTCTGGGGTCGACCCGTTCCGGTGACTCGGATCCGGGTAAACCGAGTTTCAACTCGGTGGCCTTGAGGTTCAGACCGACGCTGTCGTCTCTGGTTTTGGTTTTGTCGGAAGCTTCCATGGTCGGAAGCTCTGAAAAACCTATGTAATCATGCTCTGCTACAGGTTCTGGCATTAAATCCGGCAGCCCTTCTTACGTCGGACGAGGACAACACACAAAAAAAAAACGCTTCGACACTCGCAAGAAAACCAGGAAATTTGTCTGACATGTGAGGTTTTGGTTATGCTAAAAGGGAATTCTTTTGGGTTCTCGCGATTTGCTCTTATAGATAGTCACATACAATGATCTAGCAAAAATCTACGCACTTAAAAAACTTCCATATTTATTTTTAGGGTTAATCGCCGAATACAAAAGTACATCCCCTTTTTTTATATTCGAAACCAATATTTAGTATGTAATTAAAAAATACAAACATTATTTCATATAACTTGAAACTCTCTTTTTGGTGGGAGACGACAAGAATCAAGACGAGTGATATAATTAATTTATAATTACAACGATAATTATTTTATAGCGATGTACTTAAATATAAAATAAGATTCCCATAAACAAAAAAAAAGGGAAACACCCTAAAAATTCCTGAACTTGTAAATTACGAGAAAAAAAATTCCTAAACTTGCGAGCGTGCCAAATAATTTTTGAACTTGTAAAAAGTGTCCCAATAAATCCTAATCTTGTTAAAAAATGTCATATCAGTCCTTCGAAAAAACTGATTATAATAATATGATTTTATATTCTACGTGGCAAGTGATAAGAGACGCCAACTGGGATTTTTGAGCCACGTAATCAGAACCGGGTTTTAGAAAACCGGTTTCTCTAGAATCGGTTTGAAAGAGTAACATCTCGGTTTAGTAAATATGAATAAAAAACCCTAAATTTACCTTTATGAAAATCGAGTCCTGAGAGCAAAGCCCGGTCCTGAGGGAAACACGATCTATCAACTATTCGACAGAAACCCAGATTGCTAAGGGTCAATGTTTTCCCTTTTCTGGAATTTTTCACTGAAATTTCTGGGTATTTGTTTGAAGATTTATGTACGTTCATGAATCGTCGTTACTATTTTTGTTTTTGTGAGATTATTTTAGGGAAAAACGAAAGAGAAATCGAACGATAAGAAATCCGACGTGTTCTGGGTTTTTGTATTTGTGCATTTGTTTGGATTGCAATGAGAATGTTCTGGATTTTTTCTTTGGCGTTCGCAACCTTTTATCACAGTCTAAAAAGCTTATTTTTTACAAATTTAATCGAAATTAGATTCATTTCGTATTTGTTGACGGAATTTTCTCTTCTTTTTCTTTGTTCATAAAAAATGTTCGGCCTCCGGTGACGACGGTTGTTTTGAAGTTGAACTTCCATATGTCATGGGTGCATCGGGAAAATCCAGAAGACCCTCACAAAAGCCAAAGGTTAGAGACAATGCGAAGAAAAGGACAACGAGAAAGATACCGGCGACGGTAAGTAAAACAAAGGCGGTGGCGGAGGCGGGCAACCGAACGATGGCGGAGACAGCGGCAAAAAGGAGGAGGACACGAGCAAGATGGAGTACGTGGCAGCTCAACTTGGATCCGGGTTCGGTTACGGGATGTTACTGTTTCAAACCGATTCTGAAAAAATCGGTTTTCTAAAACCCGATTCTGATTACTGGCTCAAAAATTCCATTTGGCATGACATGTCATGCCACGTAAGATATAAAATTATATTATTATAATCAGTTTTTTCGAAGGACTGATACGACACTTTTTAACAAGATTATGATTTATTGGGACACTTTTTACAAATTCAGGAATTATTTGGCATCCTCGCAAGTTCAGGAATTTTTTTTCTCGCAATTTACAAGTTCAGGAATTTTTAGAGGTTTTGCCCGATAAACAATACTAATAAATGTTATGTTGGAGTTTTTCTTTTTAAATTAAATGAATGAAGATATTTTTATAAGTTACTCTCCAATTTGTTTACAAAACTTACATATATTTATGGCTTTTTTAAAATGTTACAAGTTTTTCAATCCTATAAATAGGAGGATTGTTTTCATGTTTTAGACACAACAAGAACACCAATCAAGAAAAACACAAAAGCTTTCTACAAAAGAAAGAAAATCATCTTTTTTCCTTTGTGATTCAAACCGAGCTTTGAGTTCGACAAGACACCGGAGTTTGAAGTACCACTGTTCCGGTGAGGTACGTCCGTCCTATCCTGGGAGGATATATTCCATTAACCGTAGGTACCGCGCGGGGAATAATTTCCTTAAGGAGACACGGTTCGCCGTGGGTTCGGATCTGGTTTTCCGGTTTTAAAACAAAAATCATATTGATATAATGATGTTGGTTTGAACATAACTTTCTATACCGTTATCGGAATTGCATGTTCTTGATATCGTTTCGTAGATATCAAAATTATCTTTCTAATGGTGTATAACATGGATGATTTGGTCGTATGTTCTGAAAGTTATTAAACTTGGACAGTCTTGGTATGAAATTGAAAGTTAACTATGCATGAATATGAGACATATAAAATAACACATCCAACAATGATTACTATGGGTCTCGTTCTAAAACATTCGGGTACCAACAACAAAAATATACGTAGCACTGACCTGTCTGAGAGAGGACGAGGAAGCAAAGGCAAAGGAGAGCAACGAGTGTTCCAAATGACTTGGCCATTTGATTTTTTTTTTTGGTTCTTTTTTTTTTGTTCCTTTGCTTTAATTGATGAATTACTTGGGATATATATACAGACGGGGAATCATGGATGAAAAATTATATAGTTGATGAGGTTGTAAGCAACTATAATTAAATGTAAATACAATCTTTTAATCATTATAATAAGCATGCATAGTTGCGAACACGATCACGATATATTAAATCGAACGAAGACGAATTTCCACGTTTGAAAATATGCAACCATGATTTTTTATCTTAATTAGTGACACATCGTTCCCCTGTAACTATATTGATTAATACTATACGTTATTGTATTTGGATTATCAGAACTGGTATCCTGCCAAAAGCCATTAACTCTACAGCCATTGTCCTTGTTCCGAAACTTCCAGGGGCAGAAAGACTCAAAGACTTTCGTCCAATATCGTGTTGCAACACGATATACAAGATCATTGCCAAGATTCTAGCTAATCGGCTCAAGCCTCTAGTCAAAGTTGTTACATTGTCCAGCCAATCTGCGTTTGTACAGGGTCGATCGATTGCTGAAAACTGTCTCCTAGCAACAGAGATTGTACGTGGCTACCACAAGCCGAACATCTCTAGTAGAGCGACCTTAAAGATTGATATAGCTAAGGCCTTTGATTCATTGAGATGGGATTATATCCTTCGGGTTCTTAGACTGCTGGGACTACCGGAAAATCTGGTTTCTGCTATCCAAGCTTGCATCACGGGACCATATTTCTCTGTCAGTCTTAATGGAGGACTCCACGGATTCTTTACGGGAACTAGGGGGCTCCGTCAGGGCTGTCCCCTTTCCCCGTATCTCTTCCTCTTGGGTTTGAATATATTGTCCACGTTGCTTCAGAGGTCTGCAAGGGAAGGCTCCATCGGGTTTCATCCAGGTTGTGCACCCTTGGGAATTACTGATCTAGCTTTTGCTGACGACTTATTTATCTTCACTGATGGTAACCGACAGTCTTTCGACTTTGTCTTTCAAGTGCTTAGCTTGTTCAGTTCGCTGTCAGGGCTAAACATAAACAAAGACAAGTCCAGCCTGTATTTTGGCGGCTGCACGCAAGCATATATGGCTGAAATGTGCTCACTATTTCGCATTACATCAGCACATTGCCTTTTCGATACCTTGGCGTTCCACTAAGCTCTCACGAAAACTTTCCATGGGAGACTGCGAGCCCCTTATTGCCAAGATCAAGGGTAGAATGGAATCGTGGGCGGTAAAGAGTCTTTCTTTCGCTGGGAGACTGCAATTACTACGATCTGTCATCTCCGGCATCATCTCCTATTGGTTAGGAGTCTTTGTTCTCCCAAAGAAATGTATAACGCTGATAAACTCTATGTGTTCTACCTTCCTTTGGAAGGGAACATCCACACCAACCAAAGGAGGCCGGGTTTCATGGAAAAAAGTCACCAAGCCGAAACCTCAAGGAGGGCTTGGATTGCGGAATCTACAGGTCTGGAACGACATTGCTGCACTGAAACTCTAGATTGGGACACGTGAATTACAAGTCTTTGAGAAAAATGATCAATTTGGAATTGTTGCCCAAATTTGATTGTAAGCAATCAAAGTGTGAAGTTTGTGTTGAATCTAAGTTTACTAAACATTCTTTCAAATCAGTTAAGAGAAGTAGTGAACCTCTAGACTTAATTCATACAGATATTTGTGACATGAAATCATCACCATCTCGCGGTGGCAAGAAGTTTTTTATAACTTTTATTGATGATAGCACACGATATTGCTATGTTTATTTGCTTAATAGTAAAGATGAAGCTATTATTGCATTTAAACAATACAAAAATGAAGTTGAGACACAACTCAATAAAAGGATCAAAATGATCAGAAGTGATAGAGGCGGTGAATATGTATCTCCGTTTGAAGAAGTATGTTTGGAATTTGGCATTATTCACCAAACTACCGCCCCATACACTCCCCAATCCAATGGAATTGCGGAAAGGAAGAATCGAACATTGAAGGAGATGATGAATGCCTTATTGATAAGTTCCGGTTTACCGGAGAACATGTGGGGCGAAGCTATTTTAACAGCTACTCAAATACTCAACCGAGTTCCCCACAGTAAGACACAATTCATTCCATATGAGAAATGGAAAGGAAAAAAAGCCTAACTTGAATTACTTCAAAGTGTGGGGGTGTCTAGCAAAGGTCCAGGTTCCTCTCCCAAAAAGGGTTAAAATAGGACCGAAAACGATATATTGTGTTTTCATAGGTTATGCTACAAAAAGTAAAGCATACAGATTTTTGGTTCACAAATCTGAAATCCCCGATATTCAGAGGAATACGGTGATTGAGTCAGATAATGCTGAATTTTTTGAAGCGATCTTCCCGTACAAAAGAGAATGTGAATCAATTAATAAAGGAACCAAGCGAAATCGGGAAGTGAATACAGAGGATGCACAAAATGAGATAGAACCTAGACGTAGTACACGTCAAAGGATTTCTACCTCATTTGGTCCAGACTTTCTAACATTTATGTTGGAAAATGAGCCTCAAACATATAAAGAAGCTGTGACTTCTTCTGAAGCTCAATACTGGAAAGAGGCTGTCAATAGTGAAATTGAATCCATACTGAACAACCATACGTGGGAATTGGTTAATCTTCCTCCAGGGAACAAACCGTTAGGTTCCAAATGG